CGAATGTATGGCTGACTGAATGAACTGAGGATTGTACGCGAAGGTGAAGCTCGAAGGATAATCAGTTTCAATCAATCAAAACCAATTATCTTACACGACTACTGATAAGTAGCTGTGAGTTAAGTGCACACAAAGATGTATGTTCGATTTTGGGAACCGGTAAATGATATGATACACGGGAAGCGACAGTAGTAATACAGAGCCCGTTGGCTGGAAAATAGTGGTGTCAATTGTTGGAATTCGCAATATGGCGGTACGCTTCGAGTACAGTTTGAAATTTGCGGACCCCAAGCAACCATTGTACGCAGAACTGACACGTTGTCGTTCCCATCCCTCCACACGCTCTGGATTCCATGTGGTATAAACGCTTACCGAAATTCACCTATACCTTCTCGTTTTCACGTTCACTCACAAATAAAGAGGGGGGTAACAGGTGAACCCTATCTTAACCTTGAACTATGAAATAGCCCGGTGCTGTCTGTAAACACATTCCCCGGTGTATATGTTCGTTGTGTGACCGTTGGTATGTATAGCTTTTTTAATTGAAATGTGCTTCAGTACTTGCCAAATTTATACACACAAAAACAATATCTTTGTTTTTAAATGCAGAATCAACAAGCTTGTTTCAGCTTGAATGTTTCCCATACCTTCCCACTTACAGTATCTCTTCGGATCATGGAGTCTACCTCTTTTTACTGTATTCACTTTCGTGTAATTAAAAAATACAGTCTCCGAGGACAAATACCCCAGGATAGTGTGAACCATGCTCAAGGAGTTGACATGAGAACACAGACGAAACCAATGTCGATCATATTTCCAGATCTGTGCCTGCGGATAAGGCTAAATGAAAGATAAATTTCGTTTTAAAATAAAGCAAAATTAGACGGGAATACAGCGCACAAACACACGCATGGTAGTTTAAAACGAGCGGAAAAATCCAGCATCTAAACTGTTCTACCTGTATCGAAAATAAAAAACCGAAAGGACACGACCACTAGTGTTTTGACTGGAGCCGACAGACCAACGACTGAATAAAGATAGACTAGAAAAATAATGAGAAAGAAACTTGGGTAACTGGTCACACACCTGCACCATGCACAATTCCGACAAACTGGTCTGGTACAACAAGCGTAGCAGCATCGGTCCGGTCAGCTGGGTGATGCCCACGGAAAGACGGACCAGGCAAGGAAACAAGCTGGCCAAATCGGCCATCGGATTGTGATGCAGACGCCGGGGACGAGCACCAAGCCAGCGAGAGTCGAGCAAATACCAGTCATCATCCAGACCGTACATGGGAGCACCGGGTCGACCAAGTTCATTCCGATACGAGGACATGAGACTGAATGAGGGAGGAAGCAGGTCAGTAAAATCGGTCGCCGGTTTGTACAGATGGACCAAGTTCAAACTGGTCAGCGTGGAGGCACAAGCCTGTGTCAATTGGGATCGGGGGTGAAACACAGAAACAGTTAGAGATGGTTCACCAGATCCGGGGTTGATGAGGCAACATGAATCGTACTAAGCGTGAAGGGAGTGAAATCGTACTTATTTTCAGTGAAACACAAGAATCTTTATTGTTTGTCATTTTAAACCGTTCGCCTTCGTTACTCTCATTGGTAAAGATATACTCCGTTTTCAGTTTTCTTCTTGTTGCATTCCCTGTTCTTATGCCGGAGTTATAAATATATATACTCCATATAAATTGACGAACACAGCCTGTATATTACTATCCTGGTGTCAGTCACAATCTTGAGGACTAAATGAAATTTGAAGGAGCAAAGCTCGCCCCATAAAAAAACCACAGCAACATATACATTATATCAGTGCATTCGAGGGAGATAAAACAGAAACAGTAGTTTGTTGCAGTTTGTCTTCATTTAAATAGCTGAAGAAGGTAAACATCAGTTGTATTCTATGGAAAGTAAACTCGAGGTGGATAAAAGCTCGATTTCACAGTCTTTTGCGTTGATATTTTCTCACCTTTGTCACATCCAGCAACAAATTTCGTGCATCTGAGGTGGTCAAGAACAGGTCCGTGAGCCTAAGACGTCGTAGATGCAACAATTGACGAAGTACGCGTCGAATTGTGGTAAGCAGAGCGCCACCGGTCCCGTAAACAAATCCCCGTGTTTCGTCTACTTCGCAGTGAAAATCCAAGATGAAAGTGCGTACCGTGGGTGGATGATGTGTCACATGCCGATATCGTGGATAACGACAGCTCTGGCTTCGTTGGAGTCGAGCTGTTTTCGGCTGGACCGCACGGGACGGTTGTGGAGGCCAAACAGTCCGAGGAACTGAGACGGACATAGCCGCGGAACGAGCATGTAACGACGAGATAAATTCTTCGTCGGACTAGAAAGAAATAACATTGGACCATAAGGTAAATAGTGCTAATGAATGGACGAACGGGTGGGTGTATGCTTCCCTGCTTGTGGGTAGACAGATGGATGAATCCATGTATTGACCGCACTAAGTTGGTAAAACTGGGAGCATTTATCAAGATAAGTCTAGTGATGTGCATGACTTAGAAAACGGGTGATCAAAGTGAATGTTAAAAGGACCAGCACATAGAAACCCAAACATGATTGAATTGGAAGCACATCATGGAAACACCAGACGTCTTTTACAGATCCTAACTGGCGGATTACCCTCAGGCTTCTGATAGAGAGAAGACGATTTTCCCCAACAAAATTAACTGTTTCCCTTTACTGCTCACTATTTTTTCTAAATATCTTTTATAAAACTTGAAGTTCTGAATTTTCGTTCCAGAAAAACCGCAGTCCACACCACAGACCATGGTTGATCTTCAATAGTCCTTTTCCTCAGATCTCTGCACTTTCGAGCTTTTTGTCAAGGTCATTGCTGACCGGTCCAGAAACGGTAATCATCATCATCACCATCGTATAACGAAATGCAGTAAGAAGAAATTCACTGACTGCTGCAAAACTCGCAATGCACACAAAGTTAGTAGTACAATTTAAGGTGGATAGGATTTGGACCTATTTTGAGGGAGGGGAAAGAAGGTGTACCATTATGGTCAACACACAGAGAGCGTACAATCGAACTCTGCATACCTACCGTTTTAAGCATGCTGACCTGATAGGAAACGACAACAAGAACACCACTGCTGCCGGTTCGCTGCCATATCCTTCAATGTCTCCAACCAACCAGTTGTGGAGTCTTTCGGATCCCAACATGGAAGGCGAGAGACATCTACTCTACCTAATGGCTCTGTGCATTTTACGATGCCTCGTCTTCGCGTCATCTGTTAACCTCCATGTGGTTTCCTCCATCCCAGATTGCTTACAGCGAATAAGGCGCGGTGTGGCAGACGATGGCTGAGCATACGCAATACGTCCCCCAGCCAGTGAAGTCAAATAATCCGTATTCGGTGTGCTAGCAGGTTTATAACTGACAAACTCCCAAACACACGACAGCTTACCTCCGCGTTACTAACCCGTTCGCAACATTCAATGTGGGTTAAACTACGTAAACATCGATAATCGAAAAATTCCAGTCGGCGGATATCTTCTACTCGCAAATTTAGGGTCTCACAACCATGAAGCAGGACTGAACGAACGCTAGCACAATATATACGACCTTTCAACTTCAGTGAAACGTCGCGTCTACGCCAAAGGTGTTTCAGTCCTGTGTATGCTGCTAGACCCTTGAAAATGCGGGCGGTTCTCTCTTTTGATGCACTACCGTCATTGGTCACGCAAATACCTAAGTAGGAATAGCAATCCACCATAACTAAATCCTAGCCATTTAGTGTCAGAGCGGGAGTAGACGAAACCCAGTCCTGCAGCGTCACTTTGCGCTTTGAAGGTGCAAAGCACATACCGCAAGTGGCTACTGCACTTGTTAATCTATCAAGTGCGCTTTGTGCGTCCTCCATACATTCGAACAGACAGACGATGTTATCAGTGTACTCTAA